AACTGTCTAGTCCTCAGATTCTTCATCTGTAAAAACTTCCAGGTTTTTAGGATTTGGTAATATAGTATATAACCAGGGAATAGGGAAGTTCTCTGTGACTACCAGTGAAAGGTGATTAATATATTTCTTCCTCATTGTACAGTTCTATTCAGCAGACTTTTATTTAGCACTGATTATGTGCAAAAGGCTCCACTGGGAATTGTATGTAGTTAAAATATTAATAAAATGCAGTTCCTGTCTTGGCAGAACTTGTGATCTGAGTAGAAGGAAAGGCAACTATAATGCTAGTTAGAATTTTAGCGCCCTGTATACAGGTCCGTAAGAATGCTAGCTGAAGAGATGGGGCAAGAAGACAAAGAGAATATGGCATTTGGCTGAATTTTGACAGCTAAATCCATTTCAACAAACAAATTTGTCAGGGGAAGGCATTCCAGGTGGAATAGCAGACTTGAACAAATGCACTATCAGAAAAGCTCTAGGAAAATATCGTGCATTTTTCTGCAACATATACCAAGTATGAGAGTGAGTGGTTAAAGTTAAAGCAGCAAAAGTGAGTTCCTTCCAGATTGTGGAAAAACTCAGCAATAATCCTGGTAAGGCTTTTTCCCATGTTTTACAGAGAATAAGTATGAGTGACGTCAAATAAAAAACCAACATGACCTGGCAAATGATTAGACATGGATATCAAGTGAGAGAAATAATTAAAAATATGCTCCAACATGTCATATTAATGAGGCCAGTTTTCTCTACTTGTATGTTTTGTTGTTTTCTTATTTTGTTTTACTGAATTTGAAATGCTTGTGCAAAACCAAGTAAAACCTGTTCAGCAGCCAATTGCTCTTGTGTGTTATTTAGTAGTCATTTAACATCTCTGAGACTTATCTTCTTCAACTGAAAATGAAGATATTTTTGCCTACTTCATAGCATTGTTATCAGATGAGAAATAATAGCAATTGTGCTGTTTTAAAGCCTATATTTTAAAAAGAGAGAGAACAGTCTAAATAAGAGATGAGAACAGTCTAAATAAGAGATGGATACTTTTGTATTATCCATAGTGAGCAATTAGAAGCATTGGGATTAGATGTGTTAGTCAAGTCAGGAAGCAAAGAAGGTCAATGACTAATTCTAAATTCCTACAAAATGTGTATTTCAGAAGGTGACCCTAGCAAGAGAAATTTGTGAAGAATACAAAGCTCAGATAGGATAGAGCCAGGATAGTAAAAAGTATCATGAAAGCTAAGAAAGTGACAGCTGTTTTTTTTTTTAAATCAGCATTTACCCACCATGTGTCAAACATTGTGTTATGCTCTTGAGATACATAATCCAAATAAATTCTCATAACCATCTTGAGAACTAAGTATATTTATCACAATTTGTAGATGAAGAATTGAGTACAGAGGAATTAGACAGAGCATAACAAGTAAATGGGAAGTCTAAATTCAAATACAGGTAGGTCTGATCTCTATAATTATTCCCCTCTATAACTTGGGAGAGTTTCAAGGAGACTATAGCTAGCAGTGTCATGTATTATAGAGAGTTCAAAGAGGATGGACACTCACAAGAACCTTTAACAATGAGCAGTTACTTAATGTTAATAGACATCATTTCAGTGATCTATAAGAAAATAGTCTTTGTAAAACATACTGTATAAAAGTCAATGGAATTCAAAACTTCTAAAGGTTTGTTCAAGGAAAGTGAGAAAATAAAAGTAGTTGAACCCTTCTGAGATGTTTAATGAAGGAAAGAGATGGTAGTGCAAAGATATATGAAAGTTGAGGAAAGGGTATTTGATTGAATGGTTGGTTCATTTTTTGTTTAGTAAGGGAACACCTGAACATGCTTATAAACTTAAGGGACAAACTCAGAGGAGAAAGAAGACTCAAATTATTAAAGAAAAAAAAGATGGAGCAGGGTCCTACAGGAGATGACAAGAAATAGAAGGAATAGCATGGCTTAAAAAGAAAGCAGCTAGATTATCTAGAAATGAAAGAATAGTGATTTATTATTTGAGAAAGGACGAAATTTTAGAGAACTTGCAGCAGATGTCCTATATCTTCTCCAAGAAGGAAGATGCAAAGTATCTCTTAAGGCAGGTGGTGTCTAGTTGTAGGGAATAGAAAGGGTTTGGAACCCTCCTCACAGAGAGAAGCATAAGGAAGAGTCAGCTAGAGGTGAACAAAAGAATTTCTGTACAACTCAGAGTGTATCCTAATAATAGAGTTAAAAATGTTTAGTTGAGCCAATTGGCACAATTTTGTGACTTTTTCTGGTAACACTCAGCCACCCAGTAATGAGATCAGAGAAAGTGCACTGTGCTGTTTTTCCAGGTGAGGCTTAGGCAGGTCAAGGTGACAGTGGAGCAAAGGGACTTCTGGATACTAAGAAGCCACATGAAATGGTGGGCAATTGATCTCGACTGGACCTAGAAGAAACAGAAATTAAAAGGGTTAAAGGAATTAAAGATATGACCAGTGGGAAGGACAGATTCATTTCGAGTAAGAGGAAGAGAAAAAGAATAGGTGGTTACAGTCACAGAAGAGAATTTCAAAATTCAAGATTCTAGAAATGAGATTGTTTTGAGTGATCATTGTTTTTTTACACTTTCACTTAAAGTGCCATTAATGATTATGTCATCCAGCTGTCCCACTTTACTTATTAGAAAATGGAAGACCAGGAGTTCAAGTAATTTTTTCTGGCTGTTATTCCATGACCCAGTGGCAGAGCTGGGACTAAACCTAGGATTTTCTGAGGAGTATTTTGAAATTTTAAATAACATGATAGCAACCATTAAATCATATACCCATAAAAAAGAATGGTAGATATAGTCAAGTGAATGCAAACCAATGTTATTCATAATATAGTCACAGTAAAGCATGTAGCATTCATATACCTCCTATTTTAAAACTGGTACTATGCTATTCCTCCCTCTTTCCTGTTTTAGCTTCCTCTGAAAGAAGAGAGAAGATAAAAGTTTTCCGCAGATTAAATTAACTCCTCTCTTTTCAGTATTCATTGGGAGAAGAATTAAGCCTTAAGGAATGTGCTGCTGACTGCCATCCTAAAGTGCACTGTAAATGGCATCAAGTTATTTCAGAGTGCCAGAGTGCACATCCATAGTGATGTTTGGGGTCCACCATTTTAGCTTCTTCTTTTATTTCTTATATTTTGAAAAGACTCCTTTCTCTTGATAATTGGTATGGGTTTTTAATCTTAAACTATAGTAAAATGTAATTGTAATGCTTAGGAATAGGAGGAAAGTTATGTTATTTTAAAGTTGTGTTTAAACAAATTAACCCAACAGAAATTCATTATTTCACATCTTATTCATCCCTCTTTTGACATTCAGGGATGGCTATACATTTTTAATGTAGAAAAAGAAATTAAAGATTTACATTTGGTGGTCTTTTGTTACTACATGTACCTCATATTTTATATCAAAAACATTTTCTTCAAGTCTTTAAGTGTGTGTGTTACCAAGTTTGTTTGGGAAAACTAACTTTCATGGAGTCCTTTGTAAATCTGAAGATTTTATTTCAAAGATTCTGTCAAGAATATTCTTCTTCTCAAGCAATGACTTGCCAAAGGGGCAACAAGGGAGCTGTCCTCCTGGACCGGGAGCAGTATTTGATTACTGACATTGTTTAGAATTGCTGGCATGGTGATAATAAAGCATAAACTGGATTTTGGTCAGTTTCATTACTGTTTTTAGACTCTGCAAACAATGCACTTGGGTACTGCTTACCTCTAGGATGGACCACTTCCACTTCACCCCTCATTACCTTGGTGATCTCAAGTTCAAGAACTGATTTCAAGTTCTCCTCTCCAGAGAAGACGGATTACAATGTTATTAGAGAATGAGAACTTTATGATCTAAATCAGGTCTCCACAAACTATGGCATGCAGGCCAAATCTGGCCCTATACCTATTTTTATAAATACAGTTTATTACATTTGTTTAATATATTGACTCCTTTTGTGCTAAAGCACAGAGATGAATAGTTGGCTAAAGACTACATAGTCCTCAAAGCGTAAAATACTTACTATCAGGCCATTTACAGAAAATATTCCCTGATGCTTGATTAAGAATCAAAGCATTACTTGCTTTGTGGACAATTATTTCACATTCATACTGCAGGCTAGTCATATAACAACAACAACCCCCCCCCACATTTTTATAAAATGTTTCTCACTGCCTCTTTGATCAGGTCTTTACTCAAAATTAGCTGTCCAAAATGATTTGACCTTTATGGAATAATCTTTGTTAAATGTTTACCATTGACTGACATTATATTTACCTATTAATTTTTCTCTGTTTTGTAGCCCCTGCTATGTGGATATTTGTTAGCAATGACTGATGTGGAAACTACATATGCAGATTTTATTGCTTCAGGAAGAACAGGTAGAAGAAATGCAATACATGATATCCTGGTTTCCTCTGCAAGTGGCAACAGCAATGAATTAGCCTTGAAATTAGCAGGTCTTGATATCAACAAGACAGGTGAGTCGTTTGACACCCATCTCTCTATGCACATGGAATGACCTACAGCATTTCACTAGTTAGGATTAAGGGATGAAAAAACACCTTTGAAAGTAACCTAATAGAAAAAGTTATAAACAATCAAAAGCAAGATGAAAGTCATGGACTAATCTCTTAATCACTCGCTCTGTTTTCAGTGACTTCTCTTTACAGGGTTTCCCACACAAATGCAGAGTCCTTAATCTGATTTCTCTAATGTAATCAATACAACACATTTTTTTTATCCTAATCTCTATAAAAGCTCTGAAATTTCTTATGTAGAATATTTAACAAAGTTGGAGCTCCGACCTTTGACAATATTGGCCACCTGTAACATTTAATAGCATTAGATGTTTAACAAGATTCACAGATGAGTCCGATGAGTCTCAATTCTAAGAACTACTTCAGCAGAAAAGGGTTTCCAGGACCAATTTTATTGAAAATGGGGGGAGTACAGTAGTCCATTACCTGAGTAAGCCTTAGGTAAAGAGAGTTCTTTCAGTTTTCCTTTCATGATAGACTGTTTGAAAAATTAGTCTTATTATTGGGCTTTGAACTCTTACCCACCAAGTCTAACTTTACCAATGAAAAAGTGAAACAGGTTTGACATGTCAAAGTACTTCTGAGTATTTGAATGAATCCCATGGTAATTCTTCCATAGCTTTTGCAAGTATCAAAGCTGAATGTATTTCCCTGAGAAAAACTTGTGCAAAAATAATCTTTAAAAGTGAAAAAAAATGTAGTTCACGATTAAGAAACCACACATGAAAATCACTTAGTTTCTGACTCATGGAAACCACTCAATACTTCTTTGCTATTAGAATTTTTATGGCAAAGCCTTCCAGTTATTGGAAAGTTGAGAGTTTATATGTGTTAATGAAATAGCTCAGCAACATCACCTTGAAATACCTAGGGATAGAACTTTATTCAGTGACTACAGGTCAGCAAGTCATAGATCGGTCCTTTCAAATTCAGGTTGAAAATAAAACTTTCACAGTCACTACCATGGAACACATAGACTGATGTATAGTTTAGATTTCATTGTTTCTCTATTATTACTACCGGACTTAACTTTTCAAAATAGATCTGAGAAAGGCTACAGGAAATTACTCCAATTTGGTGATATAAGTTGAGTAAATATATTTTTTCTGTAATCTTTGAGAATTTGCCAATCTTTTTCATACATTTGTATTTTTATTTTTATATGAATATTCTATTTTAAATAATCTGCATTGATATTGGCCACCCTTAATTTTAGGACTTTTTTTATAGTGTAGTTTAATTTCTTCTTTTTTTGTTTTCACTGAAGGTGAGACCCAATAAGCTCCAAGCCCTTTCTTATACAAGAGATTATATTATATTATTATGTTATAATTTAAATAAGTTGATATTTGATACCAATAAAATGCATTTTATATTTTACATTAATGTTATAATTAAATAATTTAAATAATTCAGGTATCTTTATGCCTCCAAATG